AGTCAATTTTTATTTCAACTAGAATATTTCCCCGTGGGCTGGAAGATACGGAGCAATGATCGTCCACTGCAGAAGCAGAGTCAAAAGAGAAGCTGGAACAGTGGGCATCACTGGGACCCTCTGAAAGGCACCGCTGAGCATCCAAAGCTGTGTTTCCCAAAGTGAGGCCAGCGCCCCCATGGGGTGCTGCACGAGCAGGTATCTACACTCTCTCTTGGACGGTGGAAGCCCGGGTGACTGACTGGTGGTTACGCGGTGGGCGACTAACCTCAAGGTCGGCAGTTCTAAACCACCAGCTGCTCTGAGGGAGAAAGATGGGGCTTCCTACTCCTGTCCCACAGAGTAGTTATGAGATGCCAATGAGTTTGAGGGTTTTTTGGTTTGGGATCTTGGTCTGTAAGATAGGTGGTTTTAATTGTCGGGGGTTAGGGATGTGCTAAGTACTCCCCCCCCCCCTCGCCGAGAAGGGGGCAGGAGGCCAGATAACTTTGGAAACCTATGATCTAAAGCAGGGGTGGGGAACCTTTTTTCTGCCAAGGGTCATCTGAATATTTATAACACCCTTCTGAGGCCGTACCGGTCACACAGTTAATGAACTCATCTTAATGTGAGCTGGGCCAGCTTCTCTTTGGTGAAGCGTGTGGTATTGATGACTTCCCAGGCCTTGCATGGCACACGGGCCAGACGTCCCCACCGCGATCTAGAGGCCTGAGAGGAGGCTCTGCTCTCCTTCACATTTACCCATGTGCCATCTCAAAGAGTATAGTCTTTCGATCAATCAAGCCCCCGCACCCTAGTCCATCTCTCTGAGTCAATCACCAGCCACTTGCTCCTGAGCCAGGGACGCATCTGGTACAAGACACGCACAGCCAGCCAGGTCAGAACTCCTGCCTGTTCCCGGCTTTAATGACAGCCCTCCTCACACAAGCCTACATCTAAGACATGGCCTGGCTTTTCACCACCACCACCACGCCCGAAGCTGGACAATGGAAAGAGAAAGGGGTGGGAGAACGGATGCCTTTGCATTGCAGTTCCTGTGAGGAATAATGAACGAATAAAACTGTCTTAAAGAAATATGGCCGGGATGCTCACTTTGCATCCGGAGAGACCAACCGCTGGCAAGGACAGCCTGTTGGTGAAGCAGAGGCCCTGAAAATGAGCCACCACAACAGGCTCAAAGATACCAGCACACACACACACACCCCTCCCCCCCTCTGGAGGACTGCAGAGTGTGGGCAGCAGTTCACTCCATTATCTGGAAGGTGGAGAAGAATCGGATGCCACAGTGCCGAATACTGCAGCCTCGCCCTGGGAGGGGCCTAGCACCACAGCCTCTCTGGGCTGAGTTCTCAAACAGCTCCTCTCGCCCACTGGGTCCCCGACAGTCCTCTGTGCGCACACCCCAACACTGCCCTGAGCTCCAACCGGTCTCACATCACCCCACTTCCCCGACATGATGGCTTTCTCCTGTAACTTGACACTGGGTGGGACCGTGCATGGGATAAGCCACCCAGGGCCCAGTGCTACATGCACTCTTGGTGAAGTCTGGGGCGACGGCAGAGGGTCACTTGGAAACATCACGTTTTGTTCTGGGGTAGAGCGACCTTGCACTTAATCACGCTTCCTAGCACCCACGGACCAGCTGGGGGTGAAGGGAGGTGTAAGAGGAAGCAGGGCTTTGAAAAAATGATTGCTCGGTCCATCGAGTTTTCTCAGCACTGCATTTACCAAGATATCAGAAAAAAGCAGGGAGGGGAGATTTAAGTTCGGTTGCTCACTGACCCATGGCACCCAGATGCCTACATACAGACCCAGCTTGCTTCACCGGGCATCGCCGACGTGGCATTTTTACAGAATGGAGGTCTTGTGACCACTCCGAATCAAGCAAGTCTGCCAGAACCTTTCATTCCTGATAGCGAGTACACAAGGTCAGCAGTTCGAAACCACCAGTGCTCCTCGTGCGAAAGAGAGATTTCTACTCTACTCCCCTAAAGAGCGCCAGCCGCGGAAACCCACAGAGGCAGCAGTTCTACCCTGTCCTGTGAATAAGGTCGCTGTGAGCTGGCATCGCTCGATGGCACTGAAAGTGACCAAGGGCTCCTTTCGTGCGTCTGTGACCCATCTGGGGACTCTTCATCCGACTTCAAACTTTTGCACGAAATAGGACTGCACCCTTAATAAAGTACAGCCTCCCGCCAACCAGTCTTATATGTACCCGGAAACCACAAAAATGCATGACTCTGAGCTTGTGAGGAGATAAGCCAGTCAGGGTGCGATGTAACAATGATGAGAAATACAACTTTCCTCTAGTTCCTAAATGCTTCCTCCCCGCTCCCACTACCATGACTCGAATTCGATCTTGCAAGTCTGGCTAGACCAGAGGAGGTATACTGGTACAGATAGGAACTGAAAATACAGGGA